TGATCTTGGGGTCATGAGTTCAAGTCCCATGTTGGGTGTGGAGCCTACTTTAAAAAAGCTTAAAACATTTCCTGAACTTCAGTGGTTTTGGTTCTGTCATGGCATGGGTAGCATCTATGAACATAAACTCTGTAGTGAGGGGCTCCTGGGTGGCTCAGTTGGTTAAGCGTCCAACTCTTGGGTTTCAGCTCAGGTCATGATCTCAGGGTTGTGAGATCGAGCCCCTTGTGGGGCTCCACACTCAGCCAGGAGTCTGCTTGAGATTCTCTCCCTTCCCTCTTCCTCCCCCTCTGCCCCTCTCCCCACTCACACTCTAAAATAAATGTTTTTTAAAAAGTACACTCTAGGGGCACCTGGGTGGCTCAGTCGTTAAGCGTCTGCCTTCGGCTCAGGTCATGATCCCAGGGTCCTGGGATCTAGCCCCTCATCGGGCTCCCTGCTCCACAGGAAGCCTGCTTCTCCCTCTCCCACTCCCCCTGCTTGTGTTCCCTCTCTCACTGTGTCTCTCTGTCAAATAAATAAAATCTTAAAAAAAAAAAAAACCAATAAAGTACACTCTATGTAGTCAAAAGGTGGCCTAGAAGCAATGGTTAACGTGCCCTTCAGCACACCCCGTACCCAGTTCTTGATTTCTCAACGCTGGTCTCTACCAAAAAGAAAACCTCCTGAAAAAAAGACTGATTCCTGGTAGGTTAAGGAAAGTTATAAGATGAAACTGTAATCTCTTTTGTACCAGAAAGTTGTACCCACAGTGTGACGGTGATGTTAAAAGGGACAAAGAAGCAAGCTAGAAGGAGCTCCCCTGAGCCCAACCCGGGAAGATTTAAGCATCACAATGAATGGCCCACTTATATATTTAAGTGTGCATTATTCCATACTGATGTATATTAATAAAAAATGAGTGAACAAGCTGTTGGGAAACTTACTTCCCAAGTAGAATGCCTACTAATAAATGTGGGAAGACTGTTGGGGTTTGAAAATCATCAGTGGTGGCTAAAACTATGGGGTCAAATACTGATGTGGATCAGTATATTCACGCAGTTTCAAAACATCTTCTGAATAATTACCTACTAAAAATAAAGGGAAATAAAACAACAGGCCCAACATGGAGTCCCTTATGTTAAGCCCTATGTCACCAAACCAAGACTTCATTATAGTTTGGTTCTCCCAAAAATGGAACCATAAACCATCAGGATCTCCTGATCAGCACTAGTCAGGTACTTTGCCTGATGGACTCCAGCCATCTCCTGAAGGAAAGTGACCTTGTCTGAACCAACCCACTTTTTGCCTAGGATGACTTCTTTGTCCCAACTTCCTTCTCCCTTATAAAAGTATTTCATTTTGTTTTGTTTTTTTAAGATTTTATTTATTTATTTGACAGAGAGAGAGAGACAGCAAGAGAGGTAACACAGCAGGGGGAGTGGGAGAGGGAGAAGCAGGCTTCCCACTGAGCAGGAAGCCCGATGCAGGGCTCGATCCCAGGCCTCTGGGATCATGACCTGAGCTGAAGGCAGACGCTTAACAACTGAGCCACCCAGGCGGCCCAAAAGTATTTCATTTTGTACAGCTCCTTGGAGTTCCCTTCTATCTGCCAGATTAGATGCTGCCCAATTTGAATCAATTTTTGCTCAAATAAACTCTTAAAATGTTACAAAAAATAAAGGGAAATGGTAATTCTTAAGAACACAAACATACAGAAGTGACTGGAGTTACTATCCGTATTGGTAAACATGGACACCATGTGCCTCCTGATATGAAGTACTGTGAAAGATACAATATCACTTCTGTGATTTCAGTGTAAACAATGCAAAAGGAAAATATCATTAGGAAACATCAGAGAAACAGATGGAAATTCTACAGAATTCATGACCTATCATATCCAAGGAACTCAAAGGCTAATTAACTTTCATTAAAGGAGTGGAGAGCAATGACAACCAAATGCCTCATACCATCTGGGTTTGGTCATGGACCCCTAAAGACACCAAGGGGCAATATTAGGACAAATGGTAATATTTGAACATGCCCTGTGGATTACATAATAGTATTTTACCAATACTGAATTTCCTGATAGGATAATATTCTGATAATATAAGATGTGCCCTTAGGAAACATGCACTGAAGCATTCACTTGTACAGAGGCAATATATTTACCCATTAATTCAGATTGTTCAGAAACCCACATATGCACATGTATGCGGGGAGAGACTAATAAAACAAAAGATGCAGAACAAACAATTGTTTAATCTGGGTAGAATTTATACAAGAGTATCTCATACTATTCTTGTACTTACTGTAAGTTTAAAGCTGAAAAATTTTAAAATTCAAAAATCAATACGTTTTACTTCATACAAAATGGTATCATCATCAACTCATGATGCATAAAATATAATTTGATGCTAATTCACCCATTCTTGGCTTTAAAAAAAAATACAAAGTATAGAATGGATTTTCCTTTAACATTGAAAAAATTCTACAACACACGCCATACATATGATGTTAATATTTCACCGAAGATCAGAGACAAAAGAAAAATAATTGGGATCTCCTGGCCTTCAACATTACTCTACGGAAACTATCTAGTGTTGTATGGCAAGAAAAAATGTATACGTATATGCATTAGAAAGGAAGAAATAGATTGTTCTTTCACCTCTTTAAAACACATGCCAGACACAGCATCCATACCAGCCCTAGTGCGAACAGTCTTAATGTCGGGACTCCTCCCTCTCCTCTGTTTTTCTTCACCACTGTCCTGCTTTTCTCCTTTCCACAGAACCTATTCCCTTCTAACATGCTATGGAAGTTAGGAACATTGCTGTTTTCTCACCCAGAATGTAGGTTCTATGAGGGCAAAATTCTTTTGGTGTTTTGTGCATTTCGTATACCTACAAGAGTCCAAGACTCACATAAGATATACAATAAATGATTTCTTGGAGCACTAAATGTCACCTTTTGTGACATTTATAAGAATCCACTCCGCTGGGGCACCTGGGTGGCTCAGTCGTTAAGCGTCTGCCTTCGGCTCAGGTCATGATCCCAGAGTCCTGGGATCGAGCCCCGCATTGGGCTCCCTGCTCGGCGGGAAGCCTGCTTCTCCCTCTCCCACTCCCCTGCTTGTGTTCCCTCTCTCGCTGTGTCTCTTTCTGTCAAATAAATAAAATCTTTAAAAAAAGAAAAAAAAGAATCCACTCCGCTACTTATCCTAACTTTACTAATTCACTACCACCCTCCCTTCAGGTTCAGTACCCTGAGTGCACTCAAGAATGGAGAAGAATCCTATTTTGGAGACAAAATTTTCAAGGTGATTAAGAATCCAACAACGCCATGTGCTCAATTTTCTTCTCTTTAGATTTCAGTGTACTCTGCTCACCTACACTAGGCATTAAGCTCCCTCCCTGCTCAAGGACCAGACTCCCGTCTCAGTCACCCAGGTGCCCCACTCCTCACAGTGTGCCCAGAACACACTAAGTGGTCATGTGGATGAAGGACAGAGGTCTCAGGAGAACCCTGCTGAGCACAGCAGTAAGTGTATAGTAGGACCTGGCACTGAACATGTTAAGACTGTATGGAAAAACCTTGAAGTTGAGGGAATAAATCCTCAGATGTCCTTCATCTAGTGGAAAATGCATCACTCCTGCTTTGGGACAAACTGGGGTCAGCATCCCAGGCATGCAAAGGAGAACCTTTGATAAAAACCAAGATGTTTCCAGAGGGGTTTCTCCAACTCTCTTGAACTCAAGGCTCAGCCAGAAGTACCACCACAACTACAATACACCCCACCCTCCAGAGAGAGGACAGAAGAGGGCAGGGGGCTTTGAGTCAACTCTCCATTCTGAAGAACAGAAAACTATGCACACTATCCAGACAAAAACTCTTATTAACTCATCAAGAAGTGCAGTCACCACAAAAAAGGCGCATGCCCACTATGAAAATGTGAACTGTGTAGTCTTTTAAAAGGCACTGAGGAAAGCTCCATGTGAGGAAATGATCACTTTATATTTTTCTGTACATTTTTAACCCATTAACATTATCTTGTGTACCTTGAAAACTAGTCTTGAAGGAAAGTCCACAGGATGAATTTAAAATGACCACATCCAATGCCGGCACACGGGTAATAGTAAGTCCATGGTGGCAACTGTGAAGCCAACACAAACCCGACACCCGCATGTACACAACCAGAATCTCCTGTTCAAATCCCTGGCACTTTATTTTTTTTACATCATCATTTGTTTATTGCTAACATGAATTCAAAGCAAGTATGCAATTGCGTTTATACTAGAGGAAATCAGGAAATCAAGACACAACTGCCATCATCAAATCTTAATCTTCAGAGAACTACATCTCCACGAGGTTGGCCTGAAGACACTCAGATTCCACCAGTTTTTGAGGTGTTCCATATTTAAGTAGTGTAGGCACTGCCGTCACTTTCAGTTTTTTTTCTGAAGTCATTATTTGGATCTTTCCAATAAGGTTTCTCTCCCACTTGGCAGTAGATGAACACACATCCTTTACTAATATGCTTCAGCCCTTCGTACGACCGGTTCAGCCTGCACGCAGTCAGGGCAGCAGCTATTTGCCCCAGCGTCCTTAGAGCTGGTGAAGTAGGTGACGATGGTCTTGTCATGGTGCTGCTCCACGGCCCAGCGGAACTCCTCCAAGCCAGACACGCTCACCTCCTCGCAGCCTGCCATCGGGAGGGCTCACCGCGCTTGGCCGGCCGGGGCCCTGGGAGGCACGGCCGCGGGCTAGCACTTTATTTTGAAACAAAACTTCACACAACCATTTGTAAGATCAGACAATGAGAATACTCTGTGTTTGTTTTTCTGGGCTTATCATGAATTTGCCTCAGCAGAGTGTTTTATTTCACTGGTTTTAGCAGTAATTCAACCCCTAGAAAGCTGTGGAGGGGGACTTGGGAATGCGCAGTCCTCTACATGAGGAAACCCCAAGAACAGGAAGGAATTAGGCCCCAACTGAGAAGGCCAACCCATACCATCGGGAAAAATACAGAAAACAGAAGAGCAGAATGGAATAAACAAGTGAGGGAGAACATCAGGCATTTAAAAACCACACAAACAAGGAGTTTTACTTATAAATATCAAAGCCTTAAACAGTCTGGAGGGAGCATGTTTTAACGTGGCTGTTGTATGCAGATCCTTCTCTCAGACAACATCAGAAGCAAGTGGCACGTGATGTTATTTTCGGAAGTCTAACTTCTTCTAAGTTCCAGTATCTCATGACTCAGCCTTGATATTTCTCACGAAGAATGATGCTCCTTGTGGGCGGAGATGTGGAGCAAGGCTTCCAGCAAACATCTGTAGAGCTGTCCTCACTGTGCAAGCTTCCTGACACAGGACAGCAGGGAATACACAAAAACAAAGGGCTGAGACCCTTTCTCTCAAACATTCCCCCACCAAAATAACAAAACTGATGAAAAACTAATAGGTTTGGCAGGGAAATCTGAAAGAGTTTGTGAAGACACTTGTTTTTTCAGTTTAGGGTCTAGGTTTCCATTCCCTTCTTTTTATTCTTTTAAAAATAATGCTGAGATGGCTTTTCTAAGTGTCAACCAAGGAGCAGATCGGTGGCCGGAGGTCTTTGTAAGTGCACAGTGCCCACTGTCTGTCTCCCACATGCTTCTTGTGGGCACATTAAGGCCCACGCTGTGTCCCCTTCCATCTGACTCTTGACATAACAGTAAGTGCTGACCTGTCCACAGGTTTTCTCACAGCAATGACATCGATGTGGTTCCTGTTCATTATGATTCTCAAATGGTAAGTAAGAGTCTTCTTCTGCCTAAAGACTCCTCAGTAGTTGCGTTCAGAATGTTTCCCCCTGGGGCTTTTTCTGATGTTGACAGAGGTGGACCATGGGTGACCTGCCTTCTCGAAATTCTCTCTGGTATGAATCCAATGATGAGTGGGGGCAGAGCAGTGGCTGGAGGCTTTCTCGTGTTCACTGCATCACAGGCCTCATCTCCAGTGTGACTACTCATGTGTTTGAAGAGCCAACAAAAATTCTTTACACTGAAAGGGTTTTTGTTTTTGTTTTTTTTCCTCCAGTGTGCATCTCCTTATGAAGGACAAAAGAGCAGGAGCAGTGGGTGAAGGCCTTTCTACATTCATGGCACTGAGAGGGCTTCTCTCAAGTATGAACCCGCTGGTGCTGCAGAAGGTGTGACCTGCGTTTGAAGGCCTTCCCACATTCGAGGCACTTGTATGGCGTCTCCCCCGTGTGGATGATGGAGTGCTGAATGAGGTAGGTGCTCCGATGAAAGGCTTTCCCACACTGGGCACACTCGTAGGGCTTCTCCCCAGTGTGAATCCGCTGGTGCTGCATGAGTTCTGAGCTGCATCTGAAGGCCTTCCCACACTCCATGCAATCGTAGGGCTTTTCTCCAGTGTGGATGATGTAGTGCTGAATCAGGTGTGCTCTGTTGCTGAATGATTTCTCACATTCTTTGCACTCAAAGGGTTTTTCTCCGGTGTGGGTCCTGTTATGCCGAATAAAAGTAGAGCGGTGGGTGAAGGCCTTTCGACACTGACTACACTCGTAGGGCTTCTCTCCAGTGTGAATCGGATGGTGCTGCATGAGGTAGGACCTGCGTTTGAAGGCCTTCCCACACTCCATGCACTTGTATGGTTTCTCCCCGGTGTGAATGAGGTAGTGCCGAATAAGGGTTGAGCTCTGGCTAAAGGCTTTCCCACATGCGTTGCACTCATAGGGCTTCATTCCAGTGTGAACCCGCTGATGTCGAACAAGGTACCACTTCCGGTTAAAACCTTTCCCACACTGCTTGCATTTGTAGAGATTATTCCCTGCATGAATCATGTGGCCTTTACCTGGTCCCTGTGGGTCACATTCACAGAGAACATGTCCCTGAGAGTGCAGACTATCATCTGTCCCCAAACCGTCATCTTCAAGGCTCATTCTCCCAAGATGGGTCTCCTTTTGATCATCTGTCCCAGGCTTCAATTGACTTTTCTGCATTTCTAAAAGCCCTTCCCAATCCCTGGCGTGCGCCAACTTGGAGTCCCTTGAAGATCCCTGAGTCAGGCTTCCCTGGAGCAAGGCTCCCTCAGACAAAATCAGCTGAGAAGTGCTTGGGTCCCTGGTCTGAAGTTTTGCACTGTCACCTGCAGAGAAGCCAACACAGAGAGGGGAACTTTTAGTGACTCAATACAGAAGAAACAAATTCAACACTTCAGTGGGAAAGTGAGGATGAAACAGTACCCTGGGATTGCTGTGTCCCACAACTCTGTGTCCTGGATTTCCAATGACTGTCTCTGGTCCTTGTACCCTTGACACCATTAAAGGGAAAATCCAGAGGACAGGCTAGACCAGGGAACTGAGGATCTGGAGTGGAGACCCCTCCTCACAGTCCAGAGGGGAGGAGGGAGGACATAACACTGTCTGTGGGGTGTTTGCTTCAAGAATTGACATCTCTTGGTGTTAAGAGAGTACACAGAAGTGGCACCGAACAGGACTGGGGTGAAAAAGAGGTCATCTTCCCAGAGGTGTCCCGTGAGCTAGGTCCTAATGGAGAATCAGAACTGCCAGAGAGAGAAAGAGGAAGGGAGCACTGGGTTGGAATGGAAGGAGCAAGCATGGGTAGAGTCACTCTTGGAGAGTGCTGAACAATTAAAGGAAGAAAGGGCCCCAGATGCCTGGTGAAGCCAACACTGAAGTGGGATCACCATAAAAGGAAGAGAATTAAGACTGAAGAAGAGGGATGGAGGGACACTCAGGGACAAATGGTATAAAAGACAAGCTTCTGCTCTGCTGGGAGGCCTCATGTCGTGGTTAAGAGGGCTCTGGAGCCAGAAAACCATTGGTCCAGTCCTGCCTCTACCAAGTGAGTGATCTTGAACAGGTTACTTTTTTCTTCAAAGCATGATTTCCTCATCTGAGAGACTAGGAGACTCCATCTCATTCATGTTCTCCATGAATGTGACCAAGAGGTCACTAAGAGTTTCACAAAGAAGTTCAGAGGCTTGCATGCTGAAGGCTCCCATGACCCCACCTGACCAGCTGTCCCCTCCTACCTGAGCAGGTGCTACGTGAGAGGCCTCTCTTTCCTGTCCATAGCTCCTGCCCATGCTCCAGTAGGTGGGTCAACTCTGGTTTGGGAACCGGATGCCCTGTTGATGGAGAAGGAAATAGGTCATGGTGTATGAGAAGAAAGCAGTATCTCCATCCCTTCTGGGACTTCATGGCAGGGACAAGAACTGAATGAAGCTGTGAAGAAAATGCTGACCTGTGACCTGGAAACCCAACTGCACAAATCCCATTCTTGGGCTGCAACTGCCATAGAGGGTGGTGCTGTCTGTCCAGACAACATCAATGTCCTTGAACCTCATTGGTAGAAGCCAATCCTACTCGGGCACACCACTTTCACACACAGCCATGGGACCCTGGGAAGGGGAGCCCCTCCTTCCAGAAGGGATTCTGTAATTAATCTAAGTCACTGTTCTCAAACACCCTGTACTTGAGAACCACTTAGGGATGCTTGATTCCAACCTCAAACCAAAAGAAACAAAATTGCTTGGGCCTAAACAACAGTATTTCTGGGCTCTCCCTAGGGAATTCTCTCTCCCAGAGAGAACTAAAAACTGCCAGGGGAGGAAACTGGTGAATGGCATCTCTGATCACTGGTAATCTGAGAGAGGCAGGTAACCTGAGCTGAAGACAAAGCCTTTATTCCAATGTGAGGGGAGGTTGAACAAGGGGGCTGCTTTCTCAACCCTGGCTGCAGCACCCCACAGGCCCACAGGGAGCCAGCCTGAGGAACAGGGAGATGCCTGGTCCAGGGAGAGGAGCAGAGAGAACCTTCACATCACTGAGGATAGAACTATGTAGCTGCAGCCTTCAACCTGGGGGCCAGCCCCACCCTGGGGATTCTCATTAGGTGAGATGGGAAATTTCCTTCAGGGGAAGCCAGTTTCAAGCTTGCTTTTCTGTTTCGTGCAGCCAGATAGAGCTCAACAGAGATAGGTGGGTTCTGTACAGAATTTCAAGGATTGAGGCACCAGGACCCACTGAAGTCTATCAAGTAGCAGATTCTGATCCTCAGCCCAGGACTCATTCGGACAAGTCTCGGTAACAGTCATCGATGTGTCCTACATGCCTGGCCCGGAGCTCAGGGAGGGGCAGGAGAAAAGGTGAACCAGACGTTCCTTTGGCTCTGCCAGTTGAGCCCCCTCTCACCTTAGGGCCTTTTCTTGTACTGGTTCCTCCACCTGGAGCCCCTCCTCCACCTCCCCTCCAAGCTTCAAGGCTCAGTTCCAATGTCACTTCCTGAGATGCCTTTTTTGAAGCACCCATGATGGATTATGACCACCTGGCTACATACTCCTAAGGTCCCCTAATATTTCTATGTATGACTCATCACAATTCATCTAAGAATTGACGTCTGCCTTCCCACCTGAACTCAGAGTGAATGGTCTGCATTCTCACACACACGGTGCCATTGTCACTGGTGGCTTCTCTTTAACCGGCCCCACTTTTAATTTTTGTTAAGTATTTTGTTCTAAAAGGGAACTCTGTTTTGCTCTGGTAAATGAGCAAAGTCAAGTTCACTCTCCACAAATGGCAGGTTACCATCAAAACACAACAACAAAATCAAAGTAATGCCATCAGAGCCCTAGCAAGTTCATGTAGATAGTTCAGGACTGTGAGCTAGAAGCTGTCCCTTCTGTTGAAGAGAAAAATTAACCACAATTAGGGCACATGAAATACTCAGCACTGTTCTGAGACTTTCTCTTGACACCAATCAGCCTTCCAGACCGAGGAGGTTAAAGGACTGGCTTTCTCAAGGTGTCCACCTCTGGCATTTTAGCCATTCCTGTGCACTTTCTAAAGCACCTCCTACCTCAGTGGAGGACTGTGACCCAGGCCTCAGAAGAACAGGTGATGATCATGGAGACACCAGGGGTCTTTTTATAGCTACCATGTTGTTTAGGAAGATCCCACGGGGGGCACTGATGACGAATGCCATATGGGGATCTGCCTGACTCACCCTCTCTCCTGAGAACAGCCCATCACTCACAGCCCTGCTAACTGGGCCCTGGACGCCTGACCCAACCAGGCTCCTGTGCAGTCTGGAATATGGAGGTCAGACGGCAACTTGAGTGTGCTGGGTACTGGGGTGAGGGTTTGTGTTCAGAAGTAGGTTGTTTCTATTCCAATGATCCCTGACGGAGACCTGATGGAGGGAGGCCAGGTAGGAAGAGAAGGAACCAGAAAACTGCAGGGTCTTCAGGGAAGAGGGAAGATGACTCCTGTGACCTTCTTGATCAGCCAGGAATCAAGAAGGCTGGGTTACCCCACAGGATTGAGAGGTGAGCCCTTACCCAGTGAGCCCAGAAGCCCACAAGTCTCCAGCATCACTTCCTGGTACAGGGCCCTCTGGTCCAGGTCCAGCTGTCCCCACTCTTCCTGGGTGAAGGTCACAGCCACATCCTTGAAGGTAACCAAAACCTGGAAAGTCAAACAGAAGTAATGATATTGGCCTTGTGCTGTTGGATGGGGTCAGAACCCTGTAACTCAGTCTCTGGTCAAGATTTAGAGAGACCCAGGCCTGCATCACTGAGGCCTCCTGAGGGCAGAGCTCTGTGCTGGGCTCGAGGGGGAGAGAGATGCAGCCTTTGGACATAATGCAATTATGGCTGAGAGAAAAACCTCCCCTGGGAAGCCGCTGGAGATGACAAGACAGTAGCATTCCCATGAGGACAGTGGAGGCAGACAACAGGTGGTCTGGGACATCAGAGGAACAGGGAAATTGATCATGATGATAATTCCAACAATGAGAACTGCAGCAATAGCAGCCGAGTCTCCTTGGTCCTCCCCGTGTGGCCACCCCAGCTGAGGGCTTCACACACTGAGATAAAGTGATTAAAAATTCCCTGTTCTGGAGCCAGACTCCCAGAGACCAAATTAAGACTCTTGAATCTGACAGTTGCCAGCTGTGACCATGGGGCGGACATCCCATCATTTCTCTAAGCCTTGATTTCCACATCAGTACAATAATCCTTCCCACTTCACCAGGCAGTTCTGATAAGTAAAGAGAAAATGTTCACATGGAAAACAGTGGAGTGCCTGGCCTGGAATGTGTTCAATGTATTTCGTGACTTCTCCTAATCCTCCCACAGCCCATGAGGTCGATGCCACCATTACCTCCAGCAGCCTGAGGCTCAGGCAGCTCTAGAAAGTTGCCCACAATCTCACATTTAAGGAGCAGAGACAGGATCTGAACACCCAGCAAAAGATGATAGAATTATCAGAAAATAGGCAGGTGGAGGCCAGGGGCACCTTCACTAGAAATAAAACAGCCACGAAAGGCTATTCTAAGCGGTGGCATGGATACACAGAAGGAATACGGACAGACAGCCCTGCAGGGACCTGGGGACAGGGCCTGGGATGGAAGTGCAAGGGCAAAGGCTGCAAAATGGGAAGGAGTTTGACAAGTTCAGGACCACCCAGCTGGGTGCAGTGAGCAAGGGAAGAAGGGAAAGGGAGCACTGAGGTAAGTCTCAGGGGCAGATGGAGCAGGGCCCTGAGGGCCCCGGTGAGGGCTGTGTGCATTTAATACAAGTATGATGGGAGCCCCTGAGGGGGAGACCCATTCACTCATTCAACCATTTATTGAGTACCTTTTACAAGCCTAGGCCGTTCTAGGTCTTGGCATAGGGCAGCAACAGGCGCTCACGATCCGGGGCTGGAAACAGATCCTAAACAAGCAACTAAAATCAGCAAGACAATGTCAGAGGGCCCTAAAGATTCCAAAGACAAGAAAACAGAGCGAGGAGACTACTTGTAGTCCACTTTACATGGGGCAACATGGAAGCTGTCTTTCAGGATGGCACACTGGAGTGGGCCTGGAATAAAGAGGGAGGGAGCCGCGTGCATGGGAGTAAGACAGTGCTGACGGTGATCAAGGCTATGAAGAGGGTACCTGAGGTGACTGCTAGGGACTTACCCGGGTCCCCCTGTGCATCTGTGCCCAAAGGGACGCCAACACTCCTGAACACTGTCATCACTGACCATTCGAATGGACTCACGTGTCAAATCTAACGGAATGTCTTAAACAAGAAAACAGACTCACTACTGTCAGGGGAAAGTCAGTTCCATTTGCTGTAAACGGAAAGACAAATTGCTTGGCCTTCCTGGCTCCCAGCCTGCCCTTGCACCTTTTCTGCCCTGGCACAGCAACAATTCCAAAAACCTACTGCCTCTCCTCCACCCTAGCCCCTACCTCCAAAGGCTAGAGGCCAGGAAGGTGCAAGGGCCAGACTCCCGCTGTGCTGAGCCGAGACCAACACAGACTCGGGAAGCATCTCCGAGGAACGCGCTCCCAGAGCGATGCTCCCAGGACCCTGCTGGACACCGGCGGACACGCCACCCACAGACGCTTTCTAGTTCCCTCAGCGCAGGGCGAGGAACTGTCAACACTCTTCTCCTTTACACCCGAGAGCACCCAAGTCCAGCGCAAGAGGGGGGCTCACTCAAGGGCACGGCTCAGGAAGGGGCGCGGCCGGAACCCACAGTGGGGTCGTGGGGCTGCGGGTCGGGACACACGGTGGGGGGCGGGGAGGGGGTTGTAGAAGCCACTCCGCTCGCTTCCACACAGCGTCCCGCCGGTTGCCGGAAATGGGCGCTACCGCACGTAGCCCTCGACCTGCCTTCCGGAGCCGAGCGGGACCCACCCCGAGGGCCGAGGGACAGCGGCAGGGGTGCGGCGAGGCGCAGGGTCACAGGCCACTGCCGCCCCGCACGCCCACTCACCTGCGCCGGGTCCACGGGCGGCGCCATCGGGCCGCGGGGACAGCAGGGCCGCGCGAGGACGCCGCGGGGCTCCCGCGGGCTTAGCCGGCCCTCCCCCAGGGTCCAAAGAGATGCGGGCGAAGCCCCTCGCCTCCGTTCCCCGCTCCGGCCCGAGGAGCCACCGGGAACTCACCCGCAGGCACCCACCCGTCACGTCACGAGCATACGCCCACCCGCGGCACCGGAAGTCCCGCCCCCGCCAGCGGGGGCCCAGCAACGCCCCTTCGCGCGGCACAGCCTTCTGGGTAATGTAGTTTTTGTCCTGCCTCTGGCCCAGCGAGGAATCCTCTGCTCTTTCCAGGAGCCAAGGGCCCAGAGTCCAGGACAGGGACACTGGGAAAGGGTGTGCAGAGGCTCCAAAGAAGAAGGGGGCAGCATCGGATACTCCTGAAGGGGACGCACCGAAATTTCCCAAATTGAGTTATCTGTATCTGTATTTTAGAAGTTTCTAATGGAGCAAGCGGGCACGCTGTATTGTAAATTTTTTTTTTTTTAAGATTCTATTTATTTACTTGACAGAGAGAGACACAGTGAGAGAGGGAACACAAGCAGGGGGAGTGGGAGAGGGAGAAGCAGGCTTCCCACCGAGCAGGGAGCCCGATGCGGGGCTGGATCCCACCTGAGCAGAAGGCAGATGCTTAATGACTGAGCCACCCAGGCGCCCCTGTATTGTAAATTTTTAAAACCACATTTTCCTGCTGCCTCAACATCCTACAAACAGGCTGTGAGCACTCCACCCACGTGACCAGGTATACCAGTGTGATAACAAGGTTAGTCCCCTATACAAATTCCTTTTCTTGTCCTTCCCTGTGATCTAGTGACATTCCAGTGTATTAATGAAATTCCCTTGTCTGTGTACCCACCTTGACTCCCAATAATGACACTTGCCTACGGGTCCTCACTCTGTCTGTGGGCTCCATCCAGTTCCCTGGCTCCATCTGGCCTCCCATCTGGCCCCTTGTATGGGGTATGGTGCCTCCCTCTTCTAGGAGCTCTGAATGTAATGAATCCTTTAATTTCATATGCCACTGAAAGTACAATTTACACAGCCTTGTTGTAGTGTTGCTTAAAGACTCCACAAGGGGGACTTATTCCTGCATTCACTGTATGAAGGAGTAACACAAGATATAATGTTATATCATAGTGTCACTTAGATACAAAGTACCTTCACTCAGAGCTTCGAACTAATAGACATTATCTTGTTGCTCTTCAAATAGACTGAAGCTTTAGAGTCAACTTTGTGAGTTGGCTCAGGGTCAAGAGAGAAAAGACTTCACGCAAGCCATTACTGGGATATTGGAGAGGAAAATGTTGTGTGTCCCTGAAACAGAGAATAGTGAAAATTTTGTTTTCTGTAAGATTTTAAATAAGTTTATGAAGTTCTTTCAAATTTTATGTGGAATATATGATAGATTTAATTTACCTAAAATGAGAGGTTTGACATATTTTATAATTTTAAGATTATTATTATCCAAGTGTCTTTGTATTTATTCTGCCCTTTCTATTAAAAAATATTCCCTAAAACTAAGGCAATATATTATAGATTCCATTCAGCAGAACAGGAATCCAAAGAAAAACCTGAATGTACACACTGCAGTGTTAGTCATGAAATGCATGCTTTCTGTAGTTGGCAACCAACAAATATTGATCTTCAACTATATGTTCATCAAAGCTTCAGAGTCAGTTTTGTGGGCTTTGGTATGTGCAGTCAAGGGACAAGGAAAAAGAATTCAGCTAGGGTCACGGCAAGGGAAATGTCAGAAGGAAACAGATGGGGCGCCTGGGTGGCTCAGGCAGTTAAGCATCTAACTCTTGATTTCTGCTCAGGTCATCATGTCAGGGTTGTGAGATTGAGCCCCACATTGCGTTCTGCACTGGGCGTGGAGCCTGCTTAAGATTCTCTCTCTTCCTTTCCCTCTGCCCCTACCCCCCTAAAAAAAAGAAGCAGCAGAAGCAGCAGAAGCAGCAGATTATGTGGCCTTTTGCCTGTTTCCCACACAGAGATTCTTCCCTGCATGGATACGTCTCAGTATTCCAACCCCAGCAATCTCACCTGCTTCTCCCCTCCATATATTTCTAGCTGAATCTCCTATAACACAGGTACTGCTATGGGCTGAATATTTGTATCCCCCTCAATGCATATGTTGAAAACCTAATGCCTATTGTGATGGTATTAAGAGATGGGACCTTAGGGAGGTGATTAGGTCATGAGGGCTCTGCCTTAGTAATGGAATTAGTACCCTTATAAAAGAGATCCTAGGGAGTTTCCTTACCCCATCCACCATGTGAGGACATAGCAAGAAGAAGCTGTCTGTAAGCCAGAAAATGGGCTCTCAGTAGACACCAAATGTGCCAGCACCTTGATCTTGGACTTCCAACCTCCACAACTGTGAGAAATTAAATTTCTGTTGTTTATAAGCCACTTGGTCTATGGCATTTCCTTATAGCAGCCCTAACAAACTAAGACAGTTACAATTAATTTTAAAATCTTAGACTTACCTGAAAAGAAGAGCCACTTGACAAATGTTTTTTTTCCTGCTGTGATAGTAGCTGCTATGATCACAGTCTGAGCACATGTGCAAAGGGGCATCTTATTCCTGAGATAAACATTCTGGGGCGCCTGGGTGGCTTAGTGGTTTGAGTGTCCAACTCTTGGTTTCAGCTGGTGTCATCATCTCAGGGTTCTGAGACTGAGCCTTGCATCAGGCTCTGCACTCAGCAGAGTCAACTTGAGGATTCTCCCTCCCTCTCCCTTTGCCTCTTCCCCAACTCACGTGCTCTTTCTGTCTAAAATAAATATATTTTTAAAAAACACCTGATTCTCTCTCTCTGCCCCTCCACCACCCTCCCCCCACTCACTCTCTCTCTAAAAAACCAAAACAAAAAACATGTGGCTGTTGTTTGAGGATGATGTTAGTGATCCAAATAATTATTCTGGAAATTCCTAATTAGAGCAAAGGTATCAAGCTCTTTCTTCCCTTTTTGGTATTGAATAGAAGTAACTGAACAGAAGATTATGGAAAATTCTTTATGCTTCTTTAGAATTTCTAGCTAATAAACGCAGAAATAGCAATAGAAATAGGATACAAATGTGTTTCAATAGTACATGAAATAATCAACTACCCAATGATGACCATTGCATGCTGACAGTGTCTAAGATGCTTGGAGAATGGTATTTGATAGAAAACATTAATAACACTAGGACTCATCACAAAAGAGAGACACCCATACATCAGAGCAGACTTACTCGAGGCAGTCACAATTTCTCAGCACTGTGTGTAGAGTATTATGGCCAAAGGCTGAATCTGGGTTTTGAACTTGTTTGGATAGCAAGACTATTAACTGAAATTGGGGTTGTTGGAATATGACCTCAAGGTGCATTTGAGACATTCAAGTGGAGACATTGGATTGAGGATTTAGGAGGGCATTTGGAACAGACTCAGGATCTTAGTTGAGGTTGGATATGGGCACTTAGTGGCTGGCTAGTTAGCCTGAAGGATGATTAGAGGGAAGAGGCCACAATCTGACAGTGAAGCCAGTTCATTTTGCTTGATGGCTGCAGCTGCCTCTGCAGTCAGATGTGAAATAGACAAGGCTAAATATCATATTTGTATTTAGAGGACACGAAAGTCAGAGAGACACAGTGCAAGGGAATGCCTTTTAAGTCTGATAGACAAAGAGGAGGACAAATAAATGAGTGGCGAATGTGGAAAAGGGTGGGATGCAGAGTATAATACAGACAGTAATTTCAAGGAGAAGAAATATCTTTTCTCCTGAGTCATGAAGACAGTCTACAAGAAAATATATGAGGGGCACCTGGGTGGCTCAGTCGTTAGGCGTCTGGCTTCGGCTCAGGTCATGATCCCAGGGTCCTGGGATCGAGCCCCACATCGGGTGGGAGACCTGCTTCTCCCTCTACCGCTCCCCCTGCTTGTGTTCCTGCTCTCGCTGTGTCTCTCTCTGTCAAATAAATACATAAAATCTTAAAAAAGAAAAGAAAAGAAAAGAAAATATATGATATTATTTTTTGTTCTGGTTAATACTATTGCATCAATAATTCTAAAATCTATTTTGTCTAAGTGTTGCTAACCTGGCTTTATTTTCACTTGCATTTGCATGGCAAATGCTTTTTCATCCCTTCACTTTCTTTTTTTTTTTTTAAGATTATTTATTTATTTATTTATTTATTTGTCAGAGAGAGAGGGAACACAAGCAGGGGGAGTGGGAGAGGGAGAAGCAGCCTCCCCGCGGAGCAGGGAGCCCGATGCGGGGCTCGATCCCAGGACCCCGAGATCATGACCCAAGCGGAAGGCAGACACTTAACTGACTGAGCCACCCAGGCACCTGTTTGCTGGCTTTCTTTAGTGATATACTTGGATCCCTTTCTCTTTACTTTTTGCATATCTACTACCAGTATTTGATTTGTGGTTACCATTAGTTTTATATATAACATCTTATGCATATAGCAGTCTAAATTAAGTTGATGGTCATTTAAGTTTGAACCCATTCTAAAAACACTAAATTTTTACTCACCCCCCATGTTTTAGGTGTATGGTATCATACTTTACATCCTTTTATTTTGTGAATCCCTTGACGGTTTTTATAGATATACTTAATTTTACAGCTTTTGTGCTTCCTACTTTTCTTACTCTTGCTTCTTTCCTTTCTACCCCCTTTAACATTTCTTGTAAGGCTGGTTTAGTGGTGATGATTTTCTTTAACTTTTGTTTGTCTGGGAAACTCTTTATCTGTCCTTCCATTCTGAATGATAGCCTTGTTTGGTAGACTTTTCTTGGTTCAGGTTTTTTCTTTCAGCACTTTAAATATATCATGCCACCCCTTCTGGCCTGCAAAGCTTCTGCTAAAAAATCAGCTGATAGACTTATGGGATTTCCCTTGTATGTAACTGTTTTCTTTTCTCTTGTTGTTTTAAAAATTCTCTTTATCACTACCTTTTGCCATTTTAATTACTATGCATTTTGATGTGTACCTCCTTGGGTTGATTTTGTTGGGGTCTCTCTGTGCCTCCTGGATCTGGATTTCTGTTTCTTTCTGAAGCTCAGGAAGTTCCTGACAAATCCAGAATAGCAAATTCTGACAAATGACTAAGAAACTTCAACAAATGGTCTAAGAATTAGACGATGAAGTGGTTTTAAGTTAGTAGGGACTAGACACATCTACTAAAGGTCATATATATCCATTTTGGATCTGATTGTCTTAAAGAACAAACAGTTTAGGAAAACTGGGAGAACAGAGCACTGGCAATATATCTTATGATACTTCAAATATTTTGTTAAAAAAGTTACTAGGATTACAAGAGTCCTTACATTTTGGAAATGCACTCTGAAGAGATTAGGCATTGAACAAGATGTTGGATTATAAGTAAAATAATCTAGTAATATGAATGGGGATAGAGGAAACAAAAACATCCAAGAATTGATCAATGTTGAAAGACTAGGGTTGGACTCATGAGGCTTCATGACACATTTCCTTTTATGTATATATTTGAAAATATTCATTGCAAAGGGCAAATATGTCTATCATTTATGAAGAATGCATTAAAATGGGCAGAACATTTGGTTTCAGGGGGTAAGCATGTATCAAAACACAAGTTGTACACTTTAAATATGCATAATATATTATAAGACAATTGTACTTAAATACAGCTATTTTTTTTTTAAGTAAATGTAATTAAGAATGTCTGGGTGGCTCAGTTGGCTAAGTGTCTGCCTTTGGCTCAGGTCATGATCCCAGCATCCTGGGATCAAGTCCCACATCGGGCTCCTTGCTCAGTGTGGAGCCTGCTTCTCCCTCTGCCTACCACTCCCCCTGCTTGTGCTCTCTCACAAATTAAATAAAATCTTTAAAAAAAGTAAATATAATAAATACTCAAAAATTGTCACTTCCAGATTTTTACTACGTCTTACTCATATATATCCTGAGGTCATTGATGACTACTGTTATCTGTATGGTGGATATAGAATATAGTGTTGTGCTACTGCATATTTCTTCCCAAATCCATGTTCAGTGACATCATTTTGGCAACCTGAAATTGACTAGGATGGGAGTATACACATGAGAGAAACTGACAAACACTCCAATACAGGGCTTGTTTATTGAATGTCTAGACCAGAAAACGATGGAGAATATGTTCAGAATGTAGATAATGCTCAAAAGTATATAGCCTCTGTGGGTGTTACACTGTGAATAGCACAAAAGAAATTGAGAAGACATTCTTACAGAATTCAAAAACAATATTTCCATTTGGCAGAGGACACATCATTGCTGAAAAATGAGTGCAGTTCCAAAATATGTCTTTTTATTTATTAATGAAAAGTATCAACCAACATCCATTTTAAAATAAGCAAATTAAAGAAGATAACAAGAGGCAAATAAACATAAAAAAAATGCTCAACATCATGAAACATCAAAAAACTGCAATTAAAACTACAGTGAAATGCTATTACACCTCTATTAAAACAGCTAAAATTTAAAAAGACTGACAATATGAAATATTGGCAAAATTTGGAGGAACAGAAGCTCATATACTGTGGGTGGGAACACAGATGGGTATAACCAGCTTAGATCACAGCTTGGCAGTTTCTTAAATATTAAAACATTCACATTCTCTGAAGTATTGGTACAAGAGAAACAAAACACATATTCACATAAAGAATCATATGCCTATGTTCACTGAAGCTTTATTTCTAACAGCACTAAACTGGAAACAACCCAACTGCCCATTAACAGATGAATGGATAAAACAAATAGTGGCATATCCGTAGAGAAGAATACTACTCAACAATAAGAAGAATAAACATTCATATAAGCAACATTGGGGAATCTCAAAATAATTATGCAGTGTGGAAAATATCAGAAAAGAATACACACTTTATGACTCAATTCATGTAAGTTCTAGACAGTTTTTAAAGAAAGTAAATCACTGGAAAAGACAAGGAGAGATTATAAAAAAGCATGAGGTACATCATGGTTGTTCATGATGGTGATGGTTTTATGGGTTTAAATGTATAACAAAAATTTTCAATTGTTCACCTTAAATATGTGTAGATTATTGCATGTCAATTATGCGTCAATAAACTCCCCCCAAAAAGTTCAAAATAAAAAATCTGAATCACCCACTTTTTGTTAACCAGAAGGTTTAACAACCCAGTACTGACTCTACTCTATTTTTCCTTATTCCTGAGGAAGAGCAGCCCTGAATCTGTGCAGGAAAAACTGGTGAGCAATGGAAGCTGTTCCAGTCTGGGATGAATGGAACACTGGCTGGACCACAAAAGCCACATCCTGGGACAACATGATCTCCATTCTGTCTTCATTTCTCTGCCTTCTTTAGAGCAATGGATGGCCACTGAGGTGAACAGCCCAGAAAGACAATGAGAATTCACAAAATCTTTAGATTATTTGCTCTGACGGTGATTTCAGCTACAGGAGATATACAGCTCTAGAAGTACTCTAATTCCTCACAACCATAGTCAACGGAAGATTTATGGATGCACTTTCAGAAGAGGCATATATCATCTAGTTTGCTGCAGGCCTCTCCCCTGCCTATTAATCACATCCAGGATATCAGTACCAATTATGGTTGAAACCGGCTCCTGTAGTCAGAGGAGTGATACCAGTCTTCAGAATTATAAACATCAGGACACTTTGCTCCTTTGTAGAACCTGGTGAAAATCTTTCCCTCAATAGCGCTGGGCATCACGTGACACCCTCTGGGAGCAAGAGAATAAATTCATGCCATTCCTAAAGGCACCAGAGCTTGCCAAAAAAAGGGACCCTTCCTTAGGGTGTCCTATGGTCTCACAATAGATGGAGGCATCTAGGCCACAAATTAGGACCACGAAGCACTGAACTTGTTCCTAGGTCTTGTGCAGCAATGCAAATTAGGCCAAAACTGGAATGAGAACTACTCTCTGTCATTGTATTGTCCACACTGAGCTGCACAAAGCTGGGGCCCCTACACAAGCACAATGGTGCTTGTGTGTTCCACCCAAAACAGTGACTACAACTCCCATGACTAAAGATAGATTAAACAATAAGAACTTTATTGCTGCACAAACCAGAGCAATGAGGCAGATCGTTACTGGTTGGTGACCTGAAGGCTGGAAAAATCAACTACAAGTGTTAGGTGAAACCAATAATTTCCATGAAGAAGGTAAGCCTTCCCTGCAAGCCTCCAGCAGAGCCCATTCTTAGCCCAAACTGGGTCATATTCCTACTTAATCAGAAAAGGGAAATCACCATAAGAGCAAAGACTACTCAAAATTTCCTCCAGGTAACGGGAGAGAACACAAACATCTGCCTTGCCTTAGGCACATTGGGGTGACCAATGAAACACTGTACAAGGTAATGGAAGTGGGATGGCTTCTACTAGAGAAACTGGCAGTGATCTAACTCTGGTAAGAGTCCTGGGTGGTTTGGAATGTGCAGTGAAGCTCCTGTAAACCTCACACGTGCCTATCAACTCATGGGGAATTTCACCCCTCCAGTTGCTTGCAAGTGTGAGGTTTAACTTCAGGCACGTGGCTCCCTCACACAAACTATTTAGTGCCATTAGAGTGAACAAGGAGACAGCCATGTTTTCTTCAAATCTAAGCCTATTTTCGAGTGTGGACTTTCTGATGCTAAACAACATCAGATGTTGCAGTGAAGGATTTCCCATATTTCCTGCATTCACGGGCCCTCTCCAGGGTGTGAAATTTACGGTGGAGATTGAGGCTGGAGCATTGGCTAAAGGATTTGCCACATTTGCTGCATTCATAAGGCCCTTCTCCAGTGTGAACTACCTGGTGTTGAATGAGAACAGATTTTTGCCTAAAGGATTTTCCACACTGGCCACACTCATGAGGCCTTGCTCCTGTGTGAATGCTGCAGTGCTGAATAAGGCTGGTGCTTCGACTAAAGGATTTCCCACATTCGCCACACTTACAAGGCCTTTCTCCAGTGTGAATTCTTTGGTGTTTAGTGGAAATAGCTCTTCTGCTAAAGCATTTCCCACGCTGGCCACACTCAAAAGGCCTTGCTCTACTGTGAATTTGCTTGTGTTCAACGAGGCTGTAGCTTTGTCTAAAAGAGATCCCACATTCAGTGCATTCATAAGGCCTTTCTCCAGTGTGACTTCTATTGTGCTGATCAAGTTTGGATTTGGATCCAAAAGCTTTCCCACATTCCCCACACTCATAAAACCTTTCACTGGTGTGAACTCTCTGGTGTCTAATGAGAGTAGCTCTTTGGCTAAAGGATTTCCTACACCGGACACACACATAAGGCCTTACTGTGGTGTGAATTATCTGATGTTGAATGAGGGTGAAGCTTTGTCTGAAGAATTTTCCACATTTACTGCACTCATAAGGCTTTTCTCCAGTGTGAGTTCTCTGGTGCCTTATGAGATTGGATTTGCACCCAAAGGCATTCCCACATTCCTCACACTCATAAGGCCTTTCTCCACTATGGATTCTGCAGTGTTCAATAAGGTTGGAGCCTTGACTAAAGGATTTCCCACATTCAGCACACGTATAAGGCTTTTCTCCAGTGTGAACTCTCTGGTGTATAATGAGGGTGGCTCTTTGCCTAAAAGATGTTCCACATTCACTGCACTTGTAAGGCCTTTCTCCAGTGTGGACTCTCTGGAGCTGAACAAGTGAGTACTTGCAGCGAAAAGCTTTCCCATATTTGATGGTCTCATAAACCCTTTTTCTAGTGGAGACTCTTGGGTGATAAACAAGACTTCGTTTGTGGTTGGAGGCTTTCCCATCATGTGATTTGTAATGACTTTTTCCACTATGAAAGGCCTCCCCACACTTGGTGATTTTGTTTGGCTTCTCACTGTTGAAAATGGCCTGGTGCTGGAGAAACCTCCATGTGGCTGGGAACTCCTTTCCAATCTTCCTACAGGTGAAGGGATTCCCTGACACAGGAATATGCAGCTCTTAACAAATGAGGCCCTCTCTACATCCCTTTGCTCTGCAGTGTAATGCTTCTGAAGCTGGTGTAGGTTTGCACATGCTCCATCCAAGTATAGTTTCTGCCCAGGTTGATCAGCCAGGTGCAAAATGTCTTTCAGGATTGGGACACATTTCTCACAGGGGTGAGTCTTTTGGGTGGATGGACCTGCCTTTGGAGTCCTGACCCATGACAAAACTTCTCCAGAAACGCTCTGTTCAAAAGATGCCTCTTCATCCTCCATCCCATGCCAACAAACTGAAAAAAGAGAAATACTGATGAATCATTCTGACTATGTGGTAGAGTATTCATCATGCTTTTTTTTCAGCTATCTGTATAATATGATGTTTTCACATCTTTTAAAACCTTGATGGTAGAGGAGACAACGACCTGAACAACACTACAGACCAAAGGGAGCTAACAGACATATACAGAACATTCCATTGAACAGCAGCAGAATACATATTCTACTCAAGAATGCAGGGGAAAGTAACCAGGATAGATCATATGGTAGGCTACAAAACAAGTCTTAACAAATTTAAGAAATCTGAAATCATATAAGTATCTTTCCTGACCAAATGCAATGAAAAGTAGGAATTAATAACAGGAGGATAACTGGAAAATTCACAAATAAGTGGGAATTAAAGAACACACTCTTGAACAACCAGTGAGTCAAAGATGAAATCAAAAGGGAAATAAAAAAATATCTTGAGATAAATGAAAATAAACAATATACCAAAATTTATGGGATCCAGCAAAAGCAGTTCTAAGAGGGAAGGTTATAACAGATACATATTGACATCAAGAAAAAATGAAAGATCCTAAGTAAACATTCTACCTTCACATCTTAAGGAACTAGAAAAGAACTAAGCCTGATGTTAGCAGAAGGATGGAAATAATAAAGATCAAAGTGGAAATAAGTCTAGAAGAACAATAGAAAAGATCAAAGCTAAGATGTTTTGTTTTCTTAAAAGATAAAATTGACAGACCTTTAGACTATGGAAAAAAAGACTCAAATAAAACTAGAAATGAAAGAGAGGACATTATAATTGATACCACAGTAATATAAGGATCATAAGAAACTACTGTTAACCTCTGTACATCAACAAACTGGATAACCTAGAAGAAAAGGAAAAATTCCCAGAAACATACAACCATGAAGAAATAGGAAATCTGAACAAACCAAAAATGAGTAAGGACATTTGAGTGAGTAATCAAAAATTTCCCCTTAAAAACAAAAAACAGGGCGCCTGGGTGGCTCAGTCAGTTAAGCGTCTGCTTTCGGCTCAGGTCCAGATCTCAGGGTCCTGGGATTGAGCCCCACATCAGGCTCCCTGCTCCACAGGAGCCTGCTTCTCCCTCTGCTTGTGCCCTCTCTGCCAAATAAATAAAATCTTAAAAAAAAAAAAACCTTCCCCCAAAAGAAAAGCATAGGATTTGATGGCTTTACTGATGAATTCTATGAAACATTTAATGTCATTCCTCCTCAAACTCTTCCAAAAAACTGAAGAGGAGGGAACACATCTTAATTCATTTTATAAGGCCAGCATTACCCTCAGACCAAAGCCAGGTAAAGATACTACAACACAAGAAAATTATAGGTCAATATCCCTGATGAACCTAGATGCAAAAATCCTCAACAAAATACTAGTAAACCAAATTCAACAGTACATTAAAAGGATCATACACCAGGGCGCCTGGGTGGCTCAGTTATTAAGCATCTGCCTTCGGCTCAGGTCATGATCCCAGAGTCCTGGGATCGAGCCCCGCATCAGGCTCTCTGCTCGGCGGGAAGCCTGCTTCTCCCTCTCCCACTCCCCCTGCTTGTGTTCCCTCTCTCACTGTGTCTTTCTCTGTCAAATAAATAAATAAAATCTTTTAAAAATAAATAAATAAATAATACACCATGTCCAACTGGGATTTCTCTCTGGAATGCAAAGATGGTTCAGTAAACACAAATCAATAAATGTGATATACCACATTAACAAAATGAAGGATAAAAATCATATCATCACCTCAATAGAGAGAAAAGCATGTGACAAAATTCAACATGCTTTCATGATAAAAACTCTCAACAAATTAGGTATAGAAGGAATGTACCTCAACATGATAAAAGTCATATATGATAGGCCCACAGCCAACATCATACTCAATGGTGAAAAGCTGAAAGTCTTTTGGCTAAGATCAGGAACAAGACAAGGATGACCCCTCTTGCCACTTCTATTCAGCATAGTACTGGAAATCCTAGCCAGAGTAATTGGGCAAGAAAAAGAAATACAGAGTATGCAAATGGGAAAAGAAGAAATAAAATTGTCTCTATTTGTGAATGACATAATCTTTTACACAGAAAACCCAAAGACTGCACCCAAAGCCTGTTAGAATAAATGAATTCAGTAAAGTTGCAGGATACAAAATCAACATAGAAAAATCAGCTGCATTTTTATATACTAACAATGAACTGTGAAAGAAAAAAGAAGAAACAATCTCTTTTACAATAGCTTCAAAAAGAATAAAATGCTTGGGAATAAATTTAACCAAAGAGGTGAAAGGTCTATACACTGAGAATTATAAAACACTGATGAAAGAAATTAAAAATATAAATGGAAAAATATCCTTTGTTCATAGATTGGAAGAATTAATATTCTTAAAGTCTCCATATGACCCAACACAATCTACAGATTCAAATACCAAGGGCATTTTTCACAGAAGTAGAAAAACAATCCTAAAATTAACACAGAACCATGAAAGACCCTGAATAGCCAAGGCATTCTTGAGCAAGAAGAACAAAGCTGGGAACATCACACCTCCTGATTTCAAATTATATTACAAAGCTATAGTAATCAAAACATTATAGACCAACAGAACAGAATAGACAGCACAGAAATAAACCCATAAATATAAGATCAACTAACCCTGACAAGGGAGCCTTTGCAGGGGCTAGGGTAAAGAGGAAATGGGGAATTGATGGTTAAAAGTGATGGTATAAAATTTCAATTATTGAGATGAATAAGTCCTGGAGACCTACCATACAGCAGCCTATGGCTAACAATACTGTAATGTGCAGTAGTTCTTCCTTATCCATGAGGGATACATTCCAAGACCCCTAGCAGATACCTTAAACTGCAGATAGTACTGAACCCTATAAATATTACTTTTTTGTGTACATACCTATGATAAAGTTTAATTTATAAATTAGGCACAGTAAGAGATTAACAAGAATAGCTAATAATAGAACAATTATAACAATATACTGTAATAAAAGTTATGTGAATGTCATCTCAAAATTTCTTACTGTACTATACCTTATAATGATGTGAGATGATAAAATGCCTATGTGATAAGATGAAGTGAGGTGAATGATGTAGGCATTGTGACTTAGCATGAGGCTACTACTGACCTTCTGACGATATATCAGAAGGAGGATCATCTACTTCCAGACTGCGGTGGACTGTGGATAACTGAAACCACGGAAAGAGAAACCATGGATAAGGGGGGACTATTGTACACTTAAAATATGCTAAGAGGGTAAATCTTATGTTAAGTGTTCTTACCACACACGCAAATGATAATAATAATAATAAAGGGATAGGAGGAAACTTAGTGATGGATATATTTATGGCTTTTATGGTGGTAATGGTTTCATGGTGTATACTTATCCTGAACCCATCAAATTGTATCCGAGAAATATGTACAGCTTTTTACATGTCAATAATTCCTCAATAAAGTGGTTAAACCTCATTTACTAAAAGGCACCAAAGCCCAAACCTCAGAAACATAATCATTACTGGGGCTCAAATCATATCTGGGGAATCCCACTACTTTTACACACTGTACTTGGATACTCAGATATAAAACAGAAAAATAAATATGCCTCATTTGAACTATAGCCTTGCCTAAATTTCCCAATGTCATAACACCCCAAAATATCCCACATTGGGCACAGATGCTGTAGCATGAAGAATAATGCACTTAAAATTAATGTAGGTCTTTGACACAGATTGGGTTAATAAAATAGAATTCCACAGTCCCCCACCTCCGCCCCAGGAAAAATAGTTAATATCACCAGTGTAAGTCAAAACAGGGCCTCCAAGGATTAAAACTTGTTATATAAAATCTAATAAATGGGGTGCCTGGGTGGCTCAGTCATTAAGCATCTGCCTTCGGCTCAGGTCACGATCTCAGGGTCCTGAGATCGAGCCCCTCATCAGGCTCCCTGCTCCACGGGAAGCCAGCTTCTCCCTCTCCCACTCCCCCTGCTTGTGTTCCCTCTCTCACTGTGTCTCTCTCTGTCAAATAAATAAATAAAATCTTTTTTAAAAATCTAATAAATAAAAGGGTGATTATCCTCACTACTTCTCTATCCTACAACCTGATTGTGCCTATTCTTGAATCTGGAAAAATTAAAGGGTACCTCCTGGTGGATTACTATAACCTTAATGTTGTAGTCCCATCCGTAAGGACCCCATCTCCAACATCAATATTCAAACCACTGACTCAATCAGTAATGTAGAACTCGGAACATGGATCCGGTGCCATGGATCCGGACAAGTCATCCTGCCAGGGAGAGGACAAACAAGGTAAGGTGCATTAGGCTGACTGCAAGACTCCTGAATCCCAGACCATTCCCAAATGCTTGGAGCAACAGGACTTAGGTCTTCTCAGTGCAGTGCGCACACAACTATGGTCTACCCTGATGACACATATGCCAAGAAAATGGGGAAGTGCACAGAATCCATGGTCTAGCTGTGGAAAGGGCAGAGCTTCCTGTGAAGTAAAAGAGGAGAGACAAAAACCAGGACACTAGGGTGAGTGTGAAGGCCTTACCCAATGAAGCTATAAGTGCAAAGTTCTCCAGTATCACATCATGGTACAGGTGTCTCTGAGCCTCATCAAGGAGCACCCACTCCTGTGAAAAGTAAATGGCCACGTCCTCAAAGGTCACACAGCCCTGCCATAATGGGGATAGATCATTCCTGGATCAGTTTCTTTTCTAGGACTCCAAGTTTCTTCACCCAAACATACATCCCCTGCTCACCCTCCTTCCAGTGCCCCCCATGGAGCCAGAGATACCTGCTCTCTTCTCAAGGTATCACGATCGTTGTGACTGCCCACAACAACAAGAGGCATGTGGGCAGGGAGATGCCACCTAAACACTGAGCCTGGCATTAGGGCATATGTCCTCATGTCAGGCAATTGGGGGTCCCCCAGATTGTGCCTCTGAGGCACAACCAAATGTGGGCTCACCCTTCCACCTTATG